GTGTGTAGTGTAGTATACAACGAAAGTTAAATGTGTAGTGGTAACACAAATAGCAAAAGAAGTTATTTGGTTCAAAATTCATATCACTTAAATGATATTGAAACAAGAGTTTGTCATTCTTGATTGTGATACTCAAATTGCGCTACATCTTGATGAAAATCAAATGATTAACAATAGTGTTAAATATTACAACATCAATGATCACTTTATTAAACATGTAGTTTTTCATAAAAAATTAAACTAGTTAAGAATAACGGTAAATTCAATTTAGCCAATGTGCGCATCAAAATTATTACTTTTGAGAATTCTAAGAGACATTGTATTACTATACAGATATTTTAGAAAAACTTTCTGTTTTTGTGTACTTATCCAAAGAAGAATCACGTAATTGTTGGCGTAGAATTTGCATGCATCATTGATTTGTGTTTTCAATGTTTTTGTGAATCTCTTGTAATATCAAACTTGAGTTAGTCATAATGCCGTCCACGTTCCTCCTTTGCAACGTGTTTGACGTCTCTTCAAGATTCAACTTGAGAACAACTTTGAGCCTCGTGTCTCTATCTTTAACCTTTTTTGTTTTACATTTTTTTTTCAACTCATCCTAGCAATCATCATCATTGTTGATAGTTGAATTTGTTATTGCATTGCTCTTACTACAACTAGTATGATGATATCTCATGAATCTATATGATAAGAGCAACAATAGTAGCATACATATTTTCACCAAATAACAATGAAACAAATTAACAAGCCAAAGGAAAAATCACGACTTTTTTTAATTAAGACATTGCACATGCAAGTATAACTATCATACTAGCGGTAATATCTACTGTAATCCAAATCACACTTCTAGTTGAATATTAAATTGAGATCCAAAGTTTTTCACATGAGAATTTAGATGAAAATGAATTGCTTGTAAGCATTTTTAATATTGTAATTCTCCTTGGTTGTTGTTGATCATGTATTGTATCATCAATTGTAAGATTATGTAGTGACAAAAATCTTGCTTGTTAATTTTTTTCATCATAACAAATTATGTTTGAATTTAACAAATTGTTTCTTTGATATCACTTCAAAGAATTTTGATGATTACAACCATCTTTGTCAAGAACGCAAGAGTATAGTGTGAAGACAAAAATTGTGATCGTTTAGGATCAAAAGTATTGGATATTCAAAAATAACTTTTCAAAAATCTCATTGGAAAAATTAATAAAGATTTTTTTGCGATGTTATTTGATTTTTGAAATTGCTTGGAGATTTTCATATCCACTCTCAAGATTCTTTTTTTAATTCGCCGTCAACATCAACAAAAGATGCATACGAAGCAAATTATATCTTGTCACAAGCTACATTTTCATAGCCAAATCAATTGTTTCTAATTGCTTTTGAACTTATTGAAAAAATAAGATAAAATAACTTCATACAAGCAAGATGTAGTTTACACAAGCGAGAAAAAATAATTAAGAGATATACAAATGCAACGTTGAACAAAAATATGTGGTTTGCTGTTTCTGGACTATTACTACAAGAATCAAGAGGTTTTATTGAAAATATACAAAGTGTTCAATGCAATATGTGGTTCATACTGTTATATATATAAATATATATTGGCTAAAATGTGACATAATTTTAATCCTTACTAAGATTTAACCTACACCAAATTTTAGTTTGAGAAGAGTCATTAGTAGCAAGATGAATTATTATGTGTCATTATTTTATTGAAAAACTTCCAAATTTTTCTTTTGTATAGTTGGTTTTGAAAAATAATAGCTAGTTGTTAAGATTGAAAAAAACTCATAAATGAAGATAAACTTTTCCACAAAATCCATTGTTAAGTATTTTTATACAATTATTATTTTTGTTTCAGAATTATTTATTATCTTTTTTTGATATTAATTATTTGTAACCAAAAAATATTTCAACAAATATTTTAACTTTTATTAAAAACAGTTTGGATTTTTTTAGTATTATATGATTTTCTTAAATATATAATCTAACTCACTCTATGCAATAGCTTTTTGAGATTATCATGTGAAGCAATAAAAATAATTAAAATCTTTTAATAATTTTTTTTTAATTTTTTCCATTAAACCTAAGTTGTATGAATAAAAATTCAATTGTTTAAAAATCATCAAACACAAAATTTGAAAATTAAATCTTCTTGACTTACTTAAAAATTGAGTTCAAAATTTCTAAATGCATATATTTTGAATTTGAAATTTTATTCCTCATATTAGTCAGAGCTAAAATATTATAAAATGTAGTGCTAACTATTATTTACAGAAGTCATTACTTTGATTTGTCATAAAAATTGATGATGTTCATAATTTTCTTTTAAACAAAAAATAATTTAAAGATTTTCTAAAATATTGAAATGTGATATTAAATTATGTCAATATTTTTTTAATCTATAAATTTTGTGTTCATTGCATCTGCGTTGGTTTAAATATAATTAGAAAATATTTATGACGGTAAAAATCAAGTTAGTACAGAGATGCATCATAAATCAATGTGCTTGATATATTAATATTGGATGTGTTAATTGAAGAGTAAACGTTAACAATAATCTATGTGTTCATTACATAAGGATTGAATGTCTTAATTAGAAATTGCACGTTAGCAATATTAGATATTTGCTAATCATATTTTAATATTATCAATCCATTATGAATAAATGGAATGCTGGGTGAGATCTTATGAGCTTTTATGTGTTCATAAGATGTATTTAAAGATGAGAAAAATACTTTTGAGATATTTGTATTTCTAGAATTTTTGTATATTTTAGTTAATGCTTGTTTTATTTTATTATCATACATTTTTACACTAATAATCATTATACAAGGATTCAAATTTGCCAATGTAAAGTCAATATTATTTATTAAGTTTTGAACAATATGCTTTTGTATTTTCGTTTATCAAATTAACAATTTCAAAGAATTTTAAAAATTTCCTTTAATAATTAATCATATATTTTTTATTCAAATTGCAACTCTTTATTTTATAAAAAATCAGTTCAATAATTTTTTTGATAATTTTTATATTTAATTATCATACTTGATTATCATTTTTTTTAAATAAATAAAATTAATATCACATCTCAAGAGAATCAATATAGAATTTTTTGTTTCTATTCATGAACTTTTATTTAGGAGCTTTACAATTTTTTTGTTAAGATATGATCAGAAGGCAAATTTATTATTTTTGACAGATATTGTTTCATGATATATAATTCTTAATGTTTTTTATTGGTCATCACAACTTGAATCAATGAAACTTATCATATATATAAAATGTAAAACATCTTCATTATTGTACATGCATTGTACAAAATTTTGTAATTTTTTGTAATTTTAAGAATTTTTAAATTTTCTTAAAGATTTAAAATGTTTTGAATTTTTTTTTTGAAAAAATTATTACTTTAATTCTAATATATAAGCGTATTTTTCTGAAAATTATATTTTTTACTGTTGAATAATTTTTTTACCGATTAGTCATGTGAAACTTATATATTGCTTGATGATTTATTGTAGATGGTTTCAATAAAATTTTAAAGTTTTCAAACGAATTGGAGAACTTCAATAAATTGAATCTACTCTGAATTATTTTGTTAGTTTTTTTGAATTTTGACTATTTCAATTAAAACTGATTTGACAAAATTAAAATGCCTTCCTTGTTCTCATTTTATAAATTTTTTATATTGGAAGATGAAATTTTTTTTGAATGTATCAAAAGGTGATTATTGTATGTTTCAACTGTCACACAGTTATTTACGAAATTTTGAAATGAAATCAGTATTTGAACATTTTGCAGAATGATTTCTTCTTGCATATTGTACAAGATTGAAATATCTTTATTGAAATCATTAGTCTTCATTAATGTTATATTTTGAGTTTTTATTTATAATATAAACAACTTCTAAAATAAAATATTCAATATGTAAATTATATTACTTTTATTTGATATATTAATACAATATCATTAGATTTGCATGAATTCACGACTTGTTTAGGAAATTTGTGAACCAATAGATTTTGTTGTGTGAAGAAGAAAAAAAGAAAATTAGATTTTAGATTGCAGGATAAAAACAATAAAAACATGCTTATTTATATCCTTGATGTGACACTGAAATGGACATCTTACTTCATTACTGAGTTTATTTTTAGTTTATTAAGTAATATCTTGAATTTTTTTCAAAATTATCCATCATATTCATTATTACCTTCAATGATAATTGAGCATATATATTTTCTGTAAGATAAAGCCATTTTTTTAATTAAAAAGTAGTTTAAACGCTTAAATTTATTATTTTTTAAAACAAATTGTGTGTAAGATGTATTGTGATATTTCGTAGATATTTTCTCACTCATTGTAAATATGTGTTTAACAAATTAGATTCATTTGTTTCATTGCAAGAAATATTGAGGTTTTTATTGTTAATCTTGTCATTTCATGTATTAGTATTATTTTTGCTCCTATCTTTCTAGTTAATTTGAGTGAAACTGATAATAGATTAAGAGGCAAAAATTTTGTGCATGATGAATTAAATGAGCTTGGAGTTTTTGTTTAATGTAATCATATTTACCATATGCTTTACCACTTGTTTGCGAGTAGATTGTCAGTTCAAACTTCTCCTCATAGAAATGCATAATTTACATTAGTGTGCTGAAGTATGGAATACTCATACAACATCATGTGTCTACACAAATATGACAAATACATAAAAAAAAACTTGAACTGTATCCAAACAATATCATTAAAACCTAACCACTTATCACTATTTCTATCACTTGATATTTGACATGTGATAACATCCAACTATTGAGTAGTTACAGATCTGATTGCGAGCTCAAGTTCAAACATACTTGATCTTGCTGAGTACATTTAATTGGAATTCAAAGATCTGAACTATAACTCATGAGACAATTAGGGCACAAGAGGAAAATTCCTGAAAGATAGTTGTTTTCTGTTTCTAAGTATCGGTACCTCTGGAGGTAAATATTGGAATGTTTTTACTCTCAAAACCACGAAAACCCGGAACATTTTGTTACAAAAGAAGATACCATAAGGTTAAGCCGCTCCATACGGATCAGACAAATGTATCAGCACGTAATGATCAGTGCACATGGTGCGACAAATTTTCCACCGAAAAAAGAAGAACACGTAAAGAGCTACTCCGAAACCATGGTTTCAACTTTTCTGAAGACTCCGTTAATCAGGTGTTTCAACAAATAAGGCCATTGCAGTGTAGTGTTAAAGGACCTGAAAACTCATGTTTGAGTCAAGCGTAAATGACAGCGTGAAGTACCTGCATAGAGCTTTTCCTCGGGCTGCATCCATGGATAAGCACAATATGCCGGCAACGAGTGGGAAACGCTCTTCACACCTGTTCTCGATCAATTCGAATCATTTGCCATTTCCTGGAGAAAGGCTATGATGGAAGGGAGTTACACAGACTAAGCCCTTTATGAGGCGTTGTGCGCGCAGCTCGTCACAAGTGTAGTAGTAGGTCAGGGCAAAGAAAAGTGAGCAAAGATCCAGCAAACGCTGTCACCAGCCTCGGTTCGGACCTGCAGATGTCCACATCTTTTTGGGTCAGGCCATCTCACCCAAATCGCTAGACCAGATCTCGTTTGCTCCGGGCAGATATGGCAAGGAACATTTGCTTTCCACCAAAAAGTCGATGCGTTGGGACCAATGCTCATTTGGGATCTTGCCTGCCCCGGCACCATATGGCGAAGAAATTTCACTTTCCACAACCGAAAAGACGAAATGTCTCAGGTATTGGAAAGCGTATATTCATTGACCATAACTACGTCATTTCCTCCAAAGTTCAACGAAAGTTTGATTTCATCCGAGCTCGGAGCAAGGAAAGAGAGTAAAGGAGAAGAAAGTAGCCATAAGGTTCAAATAATTGGATACATTTGTTCGGAATCCAAGGATCCGTCAGAGGTCGCACGAACTGTCTATTGGTGTAGGATGAGTGCGATGATGCAGAAGGCGGGGGCACACGTACTACTCTAAGCTGGAAAACCGTCCCGGTGCTGGAGAAAGGACGAAAGAGCAGGACAAAGACGTGGGAGGAGAACATATGAATGGAAGAGGGACCACAAGACATACTCGGGGGGAGCTTTGGGAGGAATACAGTGAAGGAAAGAGAGAGAGAGGAGAAGTCGACGGACACTCAAGGTCAAGCTTGATGCCTGCATGGCAACACCGAATGATTAACACTTGAAATTTGTGGTGAGCAGAGGGCCACCGTTGAGGAACATGGCGCTTAAAGGGAAAGCTACGAGGAAGAGGTGGATGAACAGAACACGGTATGAATCGTATTATATTGTTGGCGATATGTGCCCAGGGGCGCTTTTCAGATTTTCCGCACCTACTGCTACAAGTGTTTGGGGGTGGGGGTAGAAATACGTGGGAACGACAGAGTGATCTCACTGCAGGTCTATAATTGACTCTATGTGACTGGGCATGGTTCCAACATACCCAGTTATCCTAGATTCTAAACTCCGAGTTTGATGTCGAATTTACGAAGGTGGTGAAGTCTAGCTCGTTGAGTTAGGTTGGCGACTTGGTGCTTTACATGAACATGGCTGCAGTGGGTCGCATTCGCTGTGCACTTGATTGGAAATCGGTGACCTCGCAAAGGGTGATTTGCCACTTTATGTCTTCCTGTTGGAAAGAAATCCACCTACTCACTGAAACCACCCGATCACAGAAAATATCACAAGTTTTGCATCCCAATGATCACGAAAGTCGACCATCTCGGCCGGTGGTGAAGACCCCCTCGCTTGTGCGAAAGTGCTCGCAAGGTCTTAAGGATGAAGCGTCTAAGCCTCCATGGATATCGTGCATGGTGTTCATAACTGGCAGTTGCCCCAACCGAACCCACCACCTCCTTTTCGGGATCTGATAACTCTGAAGTAATCGTAATCTGCGAAGACTCCGTGGAGGTCCATGGCATCTCAGAGATCGATTTGGAATCAAAAGTTCCACTCGTCCTAGGCTTCATTGCATGATGCCCTCGTACCAGGGTCAAAGGGGATTATTGCTAGATCGGATGCCTACCAATCCTGCGCTGTGTTGTACAATTCCCATTCCTTAGCAACTTGTAATAGCACTCACGGTGCGTAAACCGCTCCAAAGATCGAGTCAAGCGAAAGCTAAAGCCAATAGTGGTTTCGGCCATCAGCCATCAGCCATCCATGATGCCCTCCTACTCACGAAGCTAGTGTTCGATCGATCTTCTGCTGGTTCGATCTTCAGCATCACAAGGTCGTTCACCCGTTTTTACCCCTGTAGATGTTAGACTCCACGTCACGACCTTTGAGTTTCAAAGCTAGAGGGCTGAATCGTAATTTCTCGCGAGCCATTGGCTCTACAGAGATCGAGGATAAACACACTCTACTTTATCCTCGATCTCTGTAGAGTGTCTGCTCAATAGTCAAAAGCAGGCCCTTCCGGGAACTCAAAGAATAGAGAGTGATTCTCTCGATGATTCTCTCAATTGTAGAACCTTGAGTCCAACCACAGCTATAGGCCGTTGTTTCGCTATTCGCCATCAAATCAGTGGTCCAATTGTTTATCTAGATATTTGGGTCGTTAGAATCCACGTCCGTAGAGGTTGCAGGTTGTCACCTTTGCAGATCCCTCTGCTTCAGTTTCAGGGTACTGTATTGACATAATATCTGTTTGTTCCTTAAAGGACACGGAGGAAATACCTCGTCCAAAATCAGAAACGCGTCGTTCTGTAAAGTCTCCGCTGGTCATCACAAAATTACACCGTACTCTACAAGTATTCAATGCGTAGTTGACAGCGGCAGTGCATGCCTCGTTCAACGACAGAGGCTGTCAGGAATGCTCGACTGGACAAGATACCGTCAAAATATCACAGCTACTAAAGAGGACTATGCGGGGCGCCTTTGTCAACTCAGAGACGTTTTGCTGGGTTTCCACTGTGATGACAATTTCCTGAGTTGTCTACGAGCACGCACGATGTGGCCTTGGAACGACGTCAGGCTCTTGCTTCTCAAGGAAGGAAAAAGCTAAAGCAGGGTTTGGGTGCCCAGGCCGCTTCGAATGTTTATTTCGCAGGTTTGCCTAGAAGGAATGGTTTCTCCTGTAGGATGGTCTGGGTCCCATGGAGACGGACGGATGGTTAGGTCGATCCGCACTAGGACTCGTGAGGTCTGATCTCCTGGGTCCGGATCAAACAAAATGACCATTTCGTTTTGCCCTGTTACTGTGCGTCATCTGTTCGGGCCATGATCGCATAAGTCATTCCGCCGTTGAGTCTGTTATTCCGCATGTCTTCCAATTCAATGTTCTGTTAATGTAGTTTCTTGATAACTTCCATCTTTCACATCTGCCTCCCTCCTTTCACATCTGCTGATTCTCAGAGGACGCTATTTCTTCCAGGTCTTTGTCCGCTCAGAGCGCTCAGAGTACCTGTGATACATTGTCGACCACGATTCGTAGTCCCATCGTTCACGATTTGTACCGTCATAATTCGTACCACGTCAATGTTCTTCGCTGTAATGACTTTGAGCGCAGTACACTTGAAAAATTACGTCTTTGTAAGTGCTAAAGTGAACAGACACCCTTCGGCTCGCTCTGGGCATGTTCCTGTGATCCAAATTAGATAGAATGCTGGAACATGACACCCTCACCAGTCGATCGATAGAGTCTGAGGAGGAGCGTTGTTGTTTAATATGGGAGCTCATAGGCTGCAACACACCCGCAGTTGAAAATTTTCACAGTAGAAATGATAATATTCACGTGTTTAAGTCGTACTCAGATCCGGGGGTAACCCTATGGATGTATACGTACCGAGTCCTCTCACTTGCATCAATGTGATTAAGGTGAAGTCTGTTACATCGGCCGAAACTCGGTGATACATGGCACCACACATGACATGGATTGGTACCCTAACACAAGACGGTCTTGAAGGTTGATCTGGTGTTTGTGAAATGAAGTTCCTTCGTGCGTGGAAGTGGCAAGCGTGTGCGATTTCTTTATGTATATTATGACACAGGGTGAGACATCGGTGTACAGCGTTATCTGGATGAATCAGGAGTGGAGAATAACGGAGTATATCACCTAAGCACATGACTCCTCACAAGCTTGCATGTCATATACTGCGACTGAGTATCACCAAGGAAACGCTCATGATCGCAGTGAAAAGAAAGAATTTCACTCTTCTGTCACCATTCAGCTGTAAAGGATGGCCATTTATGGCAACATATACGCTTCGCATTTTCCTCTTTCGACCTCTCGCCCACCAACATCTGTCACCAATGTCGCAAGAAGCAGATGTGGAAAATTCTTCCACACGGTAGTCAGAAATACGGCCATATACTTGTCTTTACAGCACTACCCTTCACATATCCGTACAGTAATCAACCCACTGCGTTTAATCATGCAATTTCACTGGATTCGTGAACTCCATCTGTCTACATCTGATGTCGCTAAGTTCTTTATCCTTCTCAGCCTTCCTCGCTAATAGATGTAGAAGGCACCTGCAGCTCCTGCCCTGTCTACTCCTCGTGAAAGTCTTGGTTGTTAATGTTCTCTGGTCCTAGGTGTGATTCCATAACCAAGAGGATTCAGAACAGATTGAATGTTTTCATACGATGTACGACTCATGTGTCGTCCTCGTCTCCTTGTCATGCATTTCATAATCGAGGCCAATAGAGCTCCGTCACGACAGCTAGATTATCCTCTTTGGACCTGTCAGCCTGTGGTCCCTCGTGCATATGCTGTTCACTGACAGTCACCGACCGAGGATTGCAAAATCTTCCTCACGAGGAATTAAGGTAGATATGGTGTTAAACTCGGGAGTGTACTGGTGGTCGTATGGAGCAGTGTATAAAACGGCGAAGACCTACCACGGTCATGCAGCGATTTCCAACCCGAAGGAACCGTCTCTGTGACAAACATCGGTCGAGGATGTACACGGTGTCGACGCATGTCTATGCAGTGAACTCAACTCTTTCGCGTGGAAGACTTTTTCGCAGAAGATGGTGCTCCCGACTTCAAGTGCTCCTCTGAAGAGCTTGGAAGTTCCAGAAATCTCTTGATTGGTGGTTCCCTATCCAGTGCACCCATGCAACCCATGCAGAACCACCCTTAGAATCCTCTGAACTTAAAGATACCTCTGTTCTCGATCTACCTTTGTGCATTTCTAAACGATCCAACAGCAGCACAGACACCACGTGAAGCTTCAACTTTCTTCCAGCCCACGAGCGTGGAGGAGTACTGACACAACTGCAACAATTTTCTTGACTCAACGATCTCCGTAAATTCTTCTTGGGTGCCCATCAAATTCTAATGATCCAACAGGGGGTTCCCCACCAGATACACAATAACTATGTTATCTGAAAGTAGTCTCTCTGAAATCGGAGGACATTAACTTTCAGAAGTACATGCTTTCTTGGATCGACATATCAATTGACTCGGCAGATTTGGTAATGAATGAATTGACCAAGAAGGGTATTTGGATGTACCTGCTTTCTTTCACGGTAAAACCATCAACTGTGGTAACCGTCTCAAAGACACGACCTGAACAAAATTTGAACGACGAGATGTAAATATGCAAGGTTGCGAAGGAAGCGAATCATGTAGGCATTACAGAACAATGAACCATGTTTTAGGGTGCTGGTAGACCATTGGATATATTTGTTGGGAGGTGCTACTCTGACACTGAACGGTGAGTTGTGAAGTATCTGTCATGCAATCTGGAGCTCGAGGAGGTGATGGAGATTCGTGTTTTGATGCTCGCTTTGCGTCACTGGATTATTCTTTCTCTGTGGGTTTGTTGTTGGCTAACCTGTTCCGGCCAAATTCTTCCCTGAGAAGTACTTGTGATTAATGCGGCGGAGATAGTCCCGCTCGTACATTCTATACTTCGCAGAGTACTCGGCAGCTTCATTCGCAGCATCGCTGCACATTTTAAAAGCTGATTAGTGAGTGTTCGAGTGTAACCGAGAATACTGAGACCAAAATTGAGAAGTAAACATGTTGGACAACCTGGCACGACAATTCCGATCCATCGTTTCAAAAGAGGCGCGTTGGACGTGGACAAGTCATGTCTACTCAAAATTCGACCCGGAGACTCTAGTATCGACCGATGAAAACGCGTTCTTGCCCGATTTGTTACATAGCTGACATTTACATTTGAGATATCTCCGTCTCTTGGCAATACTCGAAGGTCTTCGCCGGTGCTCTCATTCACGACTGAGGACGATTCCTTTCGTGGGTCCGCTGAAGGTGTCGAGGGTGAAAGAGGGACGTCAATCCACAAACTCGAGAATCTCTTGTATGGGCAAGCATATCTATTATACCGTCTCCACTGCTGTGTGAGACGATATCATACAGGGGCAGAGAATTCTCGACGATGATGAAAAGAAGCAGCAGCTGGCTCCGGAGACAAGTCAGAAGGGATTGGTATTTCTCTACACAAAGCTGCTCGTGCTGTGGGCGGGCATCTAAAGATTCTCCGAGGGAGAAAGGGAGCTCACAGTGATTGCATGCCCAAATTCAAGGCACGAGCCAAAGTGCTGCAGCAAAAGTCCAAAACAAATACAACAATTACAGCCAACGCTCTCACCCACCTGGACGCTCTAGACAATTTTCCCGAGGAAGTATGCAGCTTCTGGGGCGCGGTGGAGGCGATGTTGTTATTGAGCTTCTCGGGATCCATGTCTGTCAACTCTGCATTCTCCCTCCCCTTCTCCTTCACGTTCTCGTGCCCTCTGGGTCTCAAAAGATTGCAATGCATGGGCAGGCCACGCCCAACTAAGACTAGCCAAAGCGGGCCAGAGGCAGGGCAGCGCAGCTATCAATCAACTCCTCAGTCTCCTTGCTCTCGGCCCTCTTTCCCTCCCTCCCTCCCTCCCTCGCGTCTGCTATACTCCACACTGTACTCTCTTCTGTGCTTGTCTGTTGTGACGTATAATGGCTGCAATCTGCAGTTCAGCCTTTCTTATTGGCCCTCGTCCTAGCCCTAAATTTACGTGAATTAGTGCACATCACCATCACCGCGAGTCAACCCTCCTTTCCCAGCTCGCCTTCTTAACCCTGTCACATTACAGCTGCTGCTTCTTCTGCTCCTGTCTGTGCTTATGGCTCTGATCTGCACCTGCACCTCGTACATGTACTCCTCCTCCTGCTGCAAGCGATTCCGGTGCGGCATGCCACCTCCCGACCTGCTCTGTAGGTAGTGATACAACGGTGATGACGGTGGGCAATATACATGATTATGGTCGGTCTGCTACGAGGCACGAATCTTCGAATGTATTATGAAGGTTGCTGAAGTTTTTACTGCAGATCGTTGAGGTGACAGCAAATTATTTCGCTCACGTTCTTCTGCTTTTCCTTCTCGGTGAGGAAATGTGTGAGCCTCCCCTTCCCTTCCCTTCCTTTCTGACGGTGACGCCTGGTCGTGTCTTTCTGCCATGCGTCACTTACTACTGTAATTCAGCCTCAGTTCAGCTCAGCTCAGCTAGCTCCTCACGTCGTCAAAGGGTGTCCGCGTCTGGTCCTGATGTTGGATGCAGTTTCGCTTTCTTCTGCTAACAGCCTCTTGGTCTTATTATCCTCAGCCCACCGGCCATGAATGGAGCCTACTGAGCTTTAGAACTTGTGCAGTAGTGTGCTCACATTTGACGGCTGTACTTTTTTTTAAGTGCACTCGAAGTGTGGATGAAATACAGTAGAGAAGATGAAGAACATCATTCTATGAGAAAATTTCCTGTCATCCTACTGAAGTTTGTACGAATTTATTTCATTCTTTCACTTTAGCAGTGCAACTCTTCTGCAAATTGGGATGGATAAGAAGAATACGTGGATCAGTTAAAAACACCAAATTCTCAGAAGTGTTTTTTAACAACATAACTTGGATGTTTTTTGCATTTAGATGAAATATTTGTATGAAAATATTCCATATTCCAGTTACTGAAATTCTTGTATATGTACACCTTCCTTGATTTACACTGTATGCCCCTCCAATCATGTGCTTGAACTAATGTGCTACATTTTGCGAGGTCCTTTGAAGGTGCACTACGTATATTTCATGTTATGATGCTATTGGAGCATATTCTGATGTTATCCTTTGGTTTCGTTACTCTAATACTAATGGTGTCCCATCCTTTTTTGTTCTACTACGAGATGCTATCTTATGTTAGAGGCTACTTTCAGACTGCGACTGTATATTGAGTATATTACCATGTGAGGTATTGCATATCATAAATCGTGATTCTTTACTGTTTTTGAAGGGGTCGCCAATTTCTATAGCAAAAGCTACAGAAAGGCCCGTCAAGCAATATGAGGATTAAGTCACACCGTGAACATGAGCTTGATCACGATAGAATGTACAATCAATATCCAAATCATCTAGATTAATTAATATATAAATAACAATAACATCCTAAATAACATGATGTTACATATTTACATTATTTGAATATAATTATCTTCTACTCCTTCGTAAACCAATAGCCCAAAATATAATGTACAATGTAAAGAGTGTGATATATTTGCTACACTCTCTCGCCAACATGTTGCAATTGGATTTTCTATGGCTGCATGTAAATCGAAGGCCAATGCTTGGATTCAATGCTACCATTGTTCCTGAACATTGCCATAAGATGACATTACATTGCATAAGATTCCAATCTTTATCTTTGTTGATTAATTCTGTAGAGTATCTCGGGCTTCACACGTACAGTGACTTGGAGTTACTGCTCACTCTTCTTCATAAGGCAGTAGGTCTGCCATTCAACGTGTGCCAGTTCTTTCTCATGTGGTCTGAGAAGTTTGTTGAAAAGCTTCGTACATGAAAACGACGTTTGGACTTTGGCAGAAGTCTGTGATCTGGGCATGGGGTCACGAAAGTTCAAGAGTGATGTACTAATTCCTTCTGATCTACGATAACTACTGTGAAATAACACCACTAAAGTTTAGTAAAAACACATTGGATAAAATGTACGAGTCTATACATTCTACCTTACACAAGGATGACATGACGAAATCTGGAGATGACAAACTTTCGCGACGAGTCTGAAAAAGAGATATTGTAAATGACCTTGAACCGACCAGGTAATTTCAGGATGTAAACTTCGCGGTCGTGCATAGTGCATGTGTATCACCGCATACATGGACTACGTTGTCACCAAAACTCAGACGTTATATATAGTTTCACAATCAATAGCACGATGCGCCCACGAGATGGCAGTGCAAGGCAAGAATTACCATCGTGATAAGACTTTGACATAGCATCTAGTGTACCCCAGGTCAAGAGAATGTTTTGATTTCTTTTGATTGACATGTTCTCGAACTGTTCCGAGCTCGGTCAGCTTTGCAGGCAGTATCCTGCGTTGGGTCTTGTCATTTTCTGGCATGAAAGCTTCTGGTCAGGCTCTTAGAAGCAAGCGTTGGAGTTCTCATGTCACATTAGGAAGCTATGTTACTGAACTCCGTTAACGTGTGAGTCCATGAGAATGCGACACGACCTAGGCAACAGACGAGTGCCGTACTTGACAACGTGAGTAACAGCGTCCAATGCTTGGGAGTTCATATTTTCACTCAGAAAATCCGATGCCTTTCACAACGCTTTTAACGTTACACTGGAAGGGAATTTACCACCAGCAGATTCATGAAGTCTTGTGTTTAATTTAGGATCCATGTACGTGGTGGATAAAGCCGTGCCTAATATACTGAAAGATTGCTGTAGTGTACAGACTATGGGTCATGTATTCTGATATTCCACTCTTGTTCCGAATATTTCATCTCGACTGAGTTCTTATAATAACGTCAATTATAAAGAAGAAAACTGAGTCAGTCATCAGTTCTTTACAAAGAACAGAATTTTACATCATATTTTGATTCCAACAACTGAATACAAGGACCCATGTTCAATGGAAGATACTCTTGGACATGCTAAGGTCCTCGTCCTTGAGGGCGTATCATGTTTGTGAACCTATTCTCGAGCACATTGGACCCACGTTAACAGAACGATTTTGTTCCTAATGCTCTAAAGTAGGAAAAGAAATATCAGCCAAGACTGTGGACCACCTGGAAGAGTCGCAAGAGAGATCGGTGTCCAACATGTAGATGGTACGAAAAGCACAAATGGACAACAAAGCAAATCCTGCAAGTTGTCTTTGTTCTCCACATTGTACTTGTGTTGGAAACCGCATAAACAGAAGGTTCAGTCAGCAGAAGCGAGCTTGAATATATGCTCGCAAAATGAAGTCGCAGCAAAAACAAGAACGCACGTGATCAGGCTATATGTGGAGTAAGGGCGTGGGTCCTTAGAGAACATTTCGTGCATGAGCCAACAGATCAGGCAATCAATCCAGTACTCACGAAGTAAGACATGGAAAGAGATAATTTCTCTCGGGTCGGATCTTGAAGGTCGTAAATGCCAGGATCAAGAGCACAACCTCCACGAATACAAGTACAATATGAGAATATGTATGCTTAACCGTTACGCCACAACTTAGCATATGAATCAAATAGACCTCAAGTGCAAATAACAGTACCGGACTCGGGGAGTATCTAGTTTTGCACGTAGCTGAAGGCCTTACTAAGCAACAGATAGTTTCGAAACCAGGTATTGTGATATTTTACACGTAATTCAGAAGCCTTACACCAGAATTGTCACTTCGACGATGTCATTCATTGTACTGTTAAAAACAACGGCAAACCGCGTATGACCACACTGGGATTACGGCGACAAACTGTCCTCAAGAATACTTGCCTGTCATAGCCTGAAGACGCTAGACACGTGCCCAGGCTTGAGCGGTAATGGTAGTAACAGGCTTGGTAGAGGAGGTTGAGATGTGATGGAGACAAAGGCGGAAGATAGAGGACTCCGTAAGAATCGAAAGGGTTTCTTTGAAAGTGAGAGATGCAGCGACATGCTGAGAAAATATGTAACGAATGGGTCCAACCTAATCCTGCTTCTATGGGGAAATCCATCTAACAGATGGCAGAACAATTGATCTTTCCGTGTGACAGGGACTAGTGTCCTAAATATGCTTTTAACGGACAACAAAAGCTGAGAATAAGGTAAAGTGCGTCAGTTATGACAATGTACAGCCGATAATGATGATCATTCTTCTTCCTTTATGAACAAGTCATTCTGAACTTTGCTACTACAAGAACGGTAAAAGGTGTAGGCACATAGGACGAAGAACAGTTCAAAGCACTGGATAACTAGATCCCGGAGTACAGGCGACTGAAATGAAGGACAAAGGAGGCAAACAAAGCTAAATTCAAACGTCACTCTCTTTTAGAGGAAGTAACTGACAAATTTATTTCTTCGTGCAAACTTTTCAATTCATGTAGATCATGGTTGGACTGTCTTTATACATATCACCAACTCCGAACAAGCGAGGAGATGGGTGAAGGGATGATATCTCGACTTCGTCTCCACGTTCTCTCGAATCTCGTTTGAGACAAATGATTGTTTTGCCCAGAAATTAATTTGCGTACAAACTGCTTGGAATCTAAACTGATTATTCATACACTCTGCGAATGCTCTTCAGTAAGCAACGGGAGCTATCTGGCCGGTTGATGGTGGTCACTCCATAGTTAAAGTCCCAGATGTCGTCGTCTTTCACTGCAAATAAAATCAAAACCTCCTGACCTTTCCCACCAGGTTATTGAACCTTGGCTTCTCCAGATCTATCAAACCTTCCCTGGTTTTTCTTGAGATGTCCAGCCCGCCAAATCTTCCACGGTGAACTCGTAGCTACTATCTGATCCTGTTCTCACATCTATTCCCTTCTCAGCTAAAAAGTCCTCCACACCTCCTTTTTCGCCGAACCAGCCATACCGATCAGCAATCAAATGAAGGTTGTTACAACCAGGACAGCGTACTATGACGACTCCGGTTTCATAGGTTGCCCTGCTCATGGTCTTCGCTGAGCGCGTTTCGCAAACAGTACACGTGAAAAGCATAGCCAAATCATGACGAGGGGAAGACTTGTACGCTGATTCTACCGCTACATCGATTGAGGCAGGGACTTTCAACAAAGGGGCACTGATATCACTACCCTCAGATGGAAGTATTTCAACTGGAGAGCTTGAACTTGCATCCAACGGACCGTTGGAGGCAAAGTCTGATGACTTTTTCCTGTCTTCAATATCTGATCGACACCCGGTACTAAACGTTCTGGACGGCTCACAGAAAATATGATTTTGTAAAACGATGTGGGAAGGAGCAGGTATGATTCGATAAGGCCATGTGCTTGATATAGTTGAAAGCTTCTCGGGACTCAGAGTTGAAGATCTCGTTTGTTCACGTGCTTTCGGCAAACCTGTAATTATAAACCGACCCAAGATTAGACGCAAGTATATATCTGCGGTTTCATTGACACGCACGACTCATGTCGAATTGCCGGTAGAACATATGCAAAAACGTGAAACAAATTTACAGTTGGCTGTACATAATCTACACCATATCTACGCCTGATATGTAATTTTCCTGCAGGAAGAAGCACAGCTCGCGTTCAATTTCACAAACTTTTCTGGTCTCGAACCTTATTCCCATATCTGCTTTCGAACTTGATAAACATCCTACGACACCAGACTGGATTCAAGGTGGATAGGGCATCACGCTAGAACCTTGTAAATCATCCAGAATTGGAAAGTTTTACAACTATAGATCCAAGGGTCTTCCATTTCAAACAGGGGCAGCCGTATTCTAAAGAGATATGTGGTGGATCAAAGCCCTGGTTCGTGGGTTTAGGGTTTTAGAAAACTGACTTCTCCGGTGAGATAGCTCTGGGTGACTCTGGCTTTTTCATGGGGATGAGACCTCGTCATAAAGGGTTACGCCGATGATGCATGCCACAAATATCCAGATTTCCGTAAGCAACAGACCAACATTTGCAATAAACTACGTGTTGGGGTGATCGAATACCTCTGATTTGTCTGCAGAAAGTTGGGCGGAGGCGCTGAACTGCCCTTCGAAACGCCATCTGTAACAAATCAGTACTGTCAGTGACAAGAATCAAATCACGTCAAACGCTGTAACCCCAAGTAGTCTAGATGAAAATGTCGGAAATGTGAACATAGTATAAGATAAGCACTGTTTCAGACAGCCCCAGTTTGAAACCAGGACCTCTCTATTGATCTGCTGAGAGCAATAGACCTACCAAATTCAACTCCAAATTCCAAAAGCCCAGCGCAACTCATCCTCTCGCACCCGGTCCACTATTCCCACATCTCCGACAGAAGCAGCAATGCGCAAAACGCAAATGCCACGTGAAGCCGACGCCAGCAGCAAAAAAACACCCGATCACCGATCACTACAGCGACTCACCAAACAAAATCAATTTCGGCCTGTACATGAACATCCCACACGTACCATTCATTGACTCAGCGGCACCCGAGGTCAGCCAGATCGTTCCTCCAATAACACATGTTTCGAACTTACACCGTGAAGAAATCAAACACATCCGAGCTGTCCAACTAACGACTCTCTCTCTCTCTCACTCTCTTTCAAAATGTCATCACGAGGGCACAAATTTTGCTTCCGACTCCTGCTGCGCAGTGGCTCACGAGACCACCATCACTGTCGGCATGCCACCGCTCGGACAAGGAAGGTACTCAGGGCACTATTCTGGACACGACAGGACAGTCAACGTCTGGCCCCGAAGGTTTCGGGCGCAAGCTCAGCGCTATCTATATTGTCGAGCCGTTCCCTAACTCGGCTCTCCCCTGGGCACGAAAACAAAGGCCTCCCTCGCCTCCGCAGGGCCCTCCGCAGGATTGTCCCAGAGGCTGCCCAAGTGCGAAACCGGGTCCGGACGAAAGGCCAGGCCGGAATGTGCTTCAGGCGTCGAGAATCGACGAGCGGCCCGTTACTCTTGACGCCGGCGAGCCGGAGCAGCAGGAGCGTGGTGCCAACGGCCATGGGGCGCCACGGGGCGAATTGGTGAAGTGAAGGAGCTCGTCGAGAGCAGCAGCAGCAAGAGGAGGAGCCCGTCGATTGGCGGATCGGGTGCATTGCGGCAAATGCCCCATTTCGGATTCTGTTCTACGCTCGCAGCTGCTGCAGTCTGGGGGGAGCCGTCCGTGGGCAGCCCCACATGTTGTGCCCTGCCGCTGGGTCTCGGGAAGCAGCTCAGGAAGCGAAACCTGTCGCGCATTGTTCCCTCCGCATTGCTTCTGTCCGTGCCCCCCATTATGAGGGGACTTCGAAATGCTGCGGATTTCCCCGAGCCTGGGCACAATTGGAAACCTTACAGTGCTGGTGCAGGAGGAGCGGGCCGAGGTGGAGGACTTATTGCGCCAGAGCAACACCAGCAGCCAAGAGGAGGAGGAGGAGGAGCAGCAGCAGCAGCAGCAGATGAGAGGGTGGGAGGGTGGAGAGATAGGCGCAGGTCCAGAGATGAGTACGTTGCTAATGGCGCTAATTCGTTTCGGAATCCTCGATTGGAGGGCCGCGGCGTTGCTGGTGGTGGATCCTCTCGGGGGAGGTTTGAGGGCAGAGATCGTCATGGGATCAGAGGCCCGGGTGACGAGAAACGTCCGCGAGGTTCCCGATCTCGTCCTGTCACAGACGAGTACCGATACTGGTGTTCTGCTGTGACCGAGCTCCCTGATGTCCGTGGTAATCAACTGGCGGATGAGAGCACTTTGCTCTGTCTTTCATTGTCGATTATTTTTAAGGAGTCTTCAAGCTAGATTTTTCGTTGAGCAATCTGAATCTACTCCTGTTGAATCCACTTTTCTTTTCCTTGCTTCATCAGACAAATTTGTGATGGTCTCGTATAATATCTTGGCCGATAAGAATGCTGCCGAACATTACAATGGCCTGTATTATCACATTCCTTGGAGGCTTATGAACTGGGTGAGGCGGAAGAGTAAAATCGTGCATGAGCTAGGCCTGTGGTCTCCAGATGTCATGTGTTTACAGGTATTGGAAGGATATTTCTCTCTGTACGTATGAATTATTGAATACTTCTCATATTTATTTACATTTCAATCGAAAGTTCCTACGCTCAACTGAAATCTAGCGTAATGGTAGACATTGCGCCAAGTTTCAGCTCATTCATTTAAGGCCGGAGCTCCAAGTCCTGACGTGATACGTCGAGTCGTAATGGTGTTCATCTGTTTTCCGCATTTCTGGTGCACTCTGGTGCATAATTGAACTCCTTTGATATACCTGTGGACTTTTTTCCGTGCCCGTAGAGACTACTGGCTTTTAATTTAAATAGGTGAAGTTATTGTGGAGGGTTGGAAGACTTCGGTTTGTTCGAGGCTCGGTAGACACTATGAAGTTAATTTGGATTTATATGACAGAAATCGAAATGCCGAGTTTGGCTTGTAAAGACGTTGCCTTGACCTTTTAAGGAAATTTTTAAATCTTTAGGAGGTGGACCAGTATGAAGACATCCGGGAAGAGTTTGAGAAGAGAGGTTACCAGGGCACTTACAAGGTGAGTCATCACAACATGCGTGTTCATAAGCATCTGTGCAGAAGAGGTAATCTTCCATGTCATCTTGCGAGTTGAGTATCATGAGACTTCGACCAGTGACTTTCAGTAGCGAAGGGAGATTCAAGGGTAGAATGTCAGTTCTACTGTTTAGAAGCAGTATATGGTTCAAAGGACTGAATCTTATGCAGATGATTTGCTTAAGCTTTAACACGGAGGGTTCCGTTTTGATTGCATAAAACCCTTCAACCAAATTTTATAATGTGGGTCTTAAGTACACGCAAATATGAGACTTAATATCTCCTCATTGAAAGCCTGAAACTGTCTTTCGCCGATGAAGCAATCTGTTGATGTCAGTCTCTCCTCCTCAGGAGCACGGTCGATCCGTCATTGTACCTTGCTGTATTATTCATTCTCTTTGTACTTCGGAGAATGTGATATAATGGTTGTGTTCACAATTGTCTCACTAATAACAAGCTTAAATAGTTCACCGAGTTCTAGCCGACAATAGAAGGATACTTAGATTCGTGTTTCTAATCTGTTTCTTCTGTTTTCAAGTATCCTTCTATGCACAACAATTATTTCGACTGTGGCTGTATTAAGCACCTCTGAAGAGCACCTCCCGTTGTATCAAAGTAAGAGGTGGTACTGCACGAAGGACTGTATGTCTACTACGTTAGTTGCTCCTCAATATGGACGATGACGAAACGCTACTTGTCGTACAGGGCCGCACAGGAGGAGCACTTGACGGTTGTGCTATATTCTGGAGGTCTAGCAGGTGAGACTACTGTCGAGAAAGGGTGTACTGTATTCGTCTCATGTTTACAACCCGTTTTGTTTCGCTTATGATATGTCTGTTAACACTGTCATAATAACGTACCCCTGGGTTAACTAGCTTCATTAGATAGAGAAGAGGGGCCAAATGGATAACTAGCATTCAGTTGATATGCCGCGTCATGATATGCCATGATCTTAGGGGTCATTCTATATTTAGTACAAGTGAGAAAACCATAGAAATGGTAGGAAGCAAGATGTCCAACTTGGACACAAAGTTACAAAAACTTCATGCAGGCGTATTAACTCCGGAGATTTCATCCGTCATTTTTACAGGTTCCGGTTGCTAGATGAACAAAGTATACAGTTTGACACTCTTGGGTTAAGGGATAATGTTGCACAGCTGTGTGCGTTACAGGTGCACGCCTCTTCTCTTACCTCGCTTTTATACCTACCACGCCAGTCATGGCTTCTAGGAAGACCTTGTTCAAGCCAAAGAAGAATTGTTTTAAACTATTTTGTTTATATATTTCCTGTTTCGGCAAAAGAGTATTTTAAATTGGAAAAATCTTACTTCTCACTGCGTTTGCAGAGTATTGGGGTCAGGGAAAACATGCCTTCAAACATCGAAGTTGATCTGCCAGATTCTGGGTATCATAAAGATATCCTTCTTACTGCATTTATTTCATGCCCCTAAGCTAGAAAATTCTCCGAAGAGTTTAGTTTTCCCCCTCTGGATTCATGATATGACATGTCATACCCGACCCCAAAGTTTAGCATGTAGGGCTTGATCCTGACCTTCTCAGTTTTATTACTCTTGTAAGCTGACTGAAATATTGATGTACATTCTGTAAGAAGCCTTTACAATCGGAAGCTGTAATCAAACTACCTGAGAGCTTTGTTGTAAACAGTTCACCTTTTCTTTCCATGCAGGTCCTCAGGAAATGTTGTTATAGTGGGCAACATCCACGTGCTTTTCAACCCCAAGAGAGGTGACATCAAGCTAGGCCAGGTAATGGTTGAGACTGACTTTTGCCTAGGCCAACTTTTCTCCGACGTATAAATTAAGGAAGCTCGTACTGCTCGATTGACACTCATATTTGTACTTATCTACAGGTGCGTGTCCTTTTAGAATCAGCCCACGCTCTTTCTCAAAAGTGGGGTGAAGCCCCCGTTGTGATTGGTGGAGATTTCAACAGTACCCCATCAGTAAGTGACGATTAACTTCTAATGTCCTGTCTCTTTTTTGCTTAGTCCTGCGTGTGCTTTCATTCGTAGCTATCATTGTTTCATGACATCTTGGAGGATGATTAGAAATCGTTTGTAGTTGTCTTAACTTTGCTTTGTGTTCAAGTTTCATCTCAACATGTAAATTTGACATGGTAAGCGTTCTGCTTGATGATTATCGTGCATTGCAGAGTTCCATATACCAATATTTGGCCAAATCCGAGGTGAGAATCAAGAGTGCGTCGTTATATACCTATCTGACGCGCTGATAACACCGGTAGGAGTAAGATGTCGCTTATGTAGCAGCTTGTCAGTTATTTTCAGAGCTTTTGTTTCTGGTGATAAATTTTGCTTATTGTGCTCAAGATGACGTACTTATGAAGCTTTGGAAGCCTGTCATCAGAAACAATCTGCTCAAACTCCTTTTTAACTGATATAAAATGGAAACTTGACTAAATTCAAGTTTTGGTTGCTTTACAGTTGGACATTTCCTGTTTGAGTAGACTGAATCTTTCCGGGCAAGTGGAGGCCAATGACGGTGGTTCTTGGAATTCGCAAGGTACATCAGGAAGGTAATGACACAAAGTCAGCTGTTCAGTTACACCCGAAAGTTATACAGTCACGTTTAAACTTGACATCTTTTGCTATCCCGTCCTGGACAATATTAGAGATAGTTCAGTTGGTAGGAAATTCTATACTTGGATCCTCGCAGTCACTGGGTAGTTACCAGAGTTCTAGATTCTTCAATTATCTAGACATGGTGTAGGGCATGATCAATATTTGGGCCGATCATAAGGTTCAACATTCTTTTGAAACGGGTTATTGCAAGTGTCTTTTGACACCTTGAAGTCATGGGCATTTCTTGCCAACTTTGAGAAGGTTTTCTTTTCCGATATGCTGATCAGTGTAACACGTTTTCAGATGTTTGCAACCTGCATGGGAAAATGTGGCCTATCGGTCTGTCCAGTCAAATTTCGCTCAATCATTGGGTCCAGTTGTAGACCCTGACTTCGTGTCCTTCTCTGAGATCACCACGAATCGTCAGGAATACACAACCTGGAGTGCGGATGGCACAGAGATGTCCCCTGCAGAGTCTAGGAGAAGTCTAGACTCCCCGTTAAACAAGCTCGTCAAAGTATGGCATTGGACACCTGAAGAACTTACAGCGGCAACCGGCAGCTTGGATGTGACAACAGTTCGCCACAATTTGCGACTTCGCAGCGCTTACACGGAGATTGAGGTGTTATTTCAATCAGACGCTTGCAATGCACCCTCTTAATGATATTGTGTGAGACGGAGGTTTAATGTTGTGCGTAATCACCTGCGCAAAGGACAGAGATCGCTGGAGCTTTTGTAATGCTATAAATTCTGTAGCGGCTCAGTCTCCAGGTTAATCATCCAACTATAAGTGACTGTCGACATGCTAGATGAATGCGTAGGGAATTTTTGTTTGTATCTGCTTGCTTAGGTGTTTCACGCATAGCCACAAGACCAGTTATTGCATCATACTTTTCGAGACTTATCTGATTACGGTCCTTCAGTTCGTGAATGAAGGCGCTGAGTACTAGCTACTGAGCTTCACAGACATCCTTCCGTACTCATGTGGAGAAGGATTCTCTTTGTCAATGTCTATGAGTCGAATATGGTTCTATATATCTGGACTGTGATTTGAGTTTGTGCTATGCACTGCAGACGAATTTCCAAACTACGTTTAAGTATGTACTTTCGTAACAGATGTGCATAACCAGACTTGTGTGTATGTTGCGTCAGGGCGAAGTTGGATGCAGAGATCCACAGGGCGAGCCACTGGTCACTACGTATCATAAAAAGTTTATGGGCACTGTCGACTACATCTGGTACATGGATCATCTTTTGTTGCAGCCATCAGTTTAATTATGAAGATGCTGAGTACTAACCTCCAGAGTTTTGGTATGTATGCACGTTATTAGGGATGATTGTCACGTTATCTCTTGAGAGGTTTTTACGATGCCACGTCAAGTTGCAGCTTACCCTGCCCTGACAATTGTTACAGGCACACTGAAGGGCTTGATACAGTGAAGGTACTCGATACCTTACCAGTGAACGTGTTGCAGCGTTGTCAAGGCCTTCCTTCACAGGTAGAGTAATTGTTCCTTTCAAACATTTATCTCATTACCTTTTCTTATAACTTTTACATTGGAAGGAATCACAAATCGCTTCAAGTTTTTGCTTATCAAATATCTTCAAACTGATACTCCCGTTGGAGACAAATGTTTGTATAGATTAGAAGTGATGAGTGAAATACCTCTTTGCTTTCATCTTTTCATAGACCTTTGCGGATCGTACGTCTTGCCTACAGTTGAGTTCATTTGAAACTGTTCAGGACATTGACTATGTCATTTGTGGACCACATGTTCATTTCAAGATTGGTAACAAATGTTTGACTCATGCTGAGTGCAGAAGTGGGGGAGTGATCATTTGGCTCTGGCTTGTGAGCTTGCTTTCCATCCCAGTGGGGCCTCCTAAGTATCTTGGGACATGTATATAAACTTCTGGACTAAGACAGTGGGTATGGTTGTCCTGATAACCTACTCGTGAGGAATCAGAGATGTCAAACCATCTTTAGTTTTTGGACCCAAATCCACGCCAACTTGGTGACTTGAAACCATGTAGGAATATCACCAGCCTGCAGATTTTGAGCTTGTCTGTCCTCCTGCATTGCAAGCATAGGATATGTACATACTCCCATACAATTGATATTCATGTGGATCTCCCAATGACCTCTACTCATGTGGGATCAGACTCTTTAATCTTGTCTGGTCCTCACCGGTCAAATTCTTTCATCCATCCCGAAGACACAATAGCACCAGGAATTTCAGGCACTGCTTTGTGATTGTGAGTTGAAATTCATTTTTTCTCACAAGAACTATAGGATACGAACACTTTTCACGGGATTGAACCCTTTGCATGGATGTACTGACGAGAGACCAGAATTTCCACCGTGATCTCTTTATTACTGGTCTCATCCTCGATCGTACTGAAGGTGGAACAGTGAATATGTAAATATAGGAGTAGTTTGGTATCCTGGGCTCGCCATCTTCTGATGTTCCCATTTCTCTACCATGTAATATGCGATTCCCCTCTCTGCGATGCAAAGGAGAAGTTCTGTGCAAGGACATAAACTTCCACTTGAGTGGGAATGTTTTCTCTTGCTCCAGACTTCTCCATTTATATTTGTCCTGACGCTTTCCATTCTGATTCTTATTATAAGAAAGGTAGGAACTTTGGTCCGAAGTCTCCTCAGTGCCTAAATATGAATGTGAACCAGCATGGTTGACGGAGTGAAGAAATTGTCTTTGGACACTCTAATGTTTCCACGAAGGTGAGGGGAGATGAGTTCCTGTGTTTTGGTGTCGCAAGGTGCAATGAACGTCAACTTGATTCTAAATTCGTACACTTCCTGTAGCAAGGGACTGTAGCCAGCACCTTTGGCATTCAAAATTGATCAACATATAATGAGCTAATTTTGAGAATGCCCGGAAAGGTATCTTTGTTGCGCACGACCAAAGCAGATCCTTTGCTTGCTGTGCAAGGCAAGGAGACATCATGTTTTGCCGTTCTGAACATAGTCCATCCTTCTACAGGCCGATTCTTTTCCGAGTTTCTAGAAGTACCTGGTACGTCAGCTCAGTATGTCGGAAGGCCTTTGACCCTCTGCCCAAAGCTGAAGGAAGCAGAGAAGACAGCCATCGTTCTAGCAGGTCAGGCATATTTACCGTGTTACAACAGGTAGGCTTTGAAGATATCCTGACGAGCCTAACAGGGTGAAGTACAAAACTTGTTTTCATATTTTATCGCACTGATCGCACCTGGAAATTCAACGCAAACCAGTAGTGCAGGATATAGGTTTTTAACATAGGAATGCACTTCATATGCCTGTAAAATCATTAGAGTTAGTATTTGGCCGACGCGAAAGTTCTTAGTTGGAAGGACTCTGTATCGATTAGTCTTCTAGGTTTACGTCGAAGTGCCTAATGTAATGTCGTGTCTATCGCGGTTGGAGTCTTATCGTTTACGTTCCTGCCCGAAGAAGTTCAACAAACAACACTATTTCTGGAGACCGATGGGCGCAGTTATTATATTTGAGAGAGAGAAATTATCGTTTGGAGTTGGATTAGCCTCTCCCCTTTCACTCTGCCTTCACCAGGTGGGTTTTCCCAGGAACTTTTTCAGGCCCGGTTTTGTTCCCATGTGAGTGCTTTCTGCCATCGGCGGTGTACTCTCGTAGATTGTAGATGGCCCTGTGTATGGACCCTCTAAGTTAAACTCTCCCCGGCAACTTTTTACTCCCAGACTTTGATAGCGGCCTTGACTAAAAGCAAATTTTACATATGGCGAGTACGCAAACAAAAGCAAAGAAAAAATGTTATCTTGCTAAAAAACAATAGAGCTTCAGTGACAATTCATATGACTGGAGTCCCCACCACCTTCATTTGAATATTGAAGGTGGTGGGGACTCCAGTCAGTATCTGAGGCACAAGTGGAGGTATTTCGGCCACGTACTCCGGTTTAACGGTATAGCAAAATGTAGATGTAATAATCTCGATATACACAACGTAATGTCGTGAGGTTGGGTACACTCTGCGAGATGTAGTTCTTTGGACATTAGCCAGAGTCCAAGACATGCAAGCATATTACTAGCATGCTGTTCCATTGCATGCTGAACCCTGCAGTATTCTGGTTGCTTCAATATCTTGTATATTTTCGGACAGTGAGATCTTCGGTTAGTTTCATTCTAACGTATTTGAGCGGATATATAAGGCCACTCCTACATGACAGGTAATGCACATTAATCCATATTGACAATCGTACTGTATCTCAATGGATGTATCGTTGTTGCATTTTCAAGCATTTGGTGTTACTTTTAACCTGTCTACATGATCTACTGTATCACAATTTCTCAAGCATTTGTTATTTTCCGGAGGATATTCACCTGATGGAAAGGGGTCCAAGTGGGATATCAAAATCGATAGTAAGATTCTATCAAGGAAAAGAATAAACGGGAAAACCACATGCTAGAGCCTTGATAGTATAGTGATGAGAAATAACTTTCTACAACACCTGCAATATGTGAACAATCTAACATGAAAAGTTTTCATACAGAAGAGCATATGACATCTTATACATAGCGTTTGCCAGTTTTCTTTGTAGGGCAACTGAGAACACGCTTGTTAAAATAAATTACAAAACAGGTTAGAAAATATGATACATCATATTTTCAAATAGAGTAGGCTGCTATGCTTTTCAACAAGAATATGTCATATACTGGATCCAAATATGATATATCCAAACAAATGCGATATTAGGGGAATAATGAGGTTATCTCTCTCTCTCTCTCTCTCTATTTTTATTCATGTACATGGAGATCTTGGGTGTTGCTTTGTAGTCGCCTCCTATCAAGAGAGATGGATAATTGTCCCATCAGAAATTTTATCACGTGTAAAGTTGTTGCAGAACCAATAGTAATCAGTTTTGCAATCCTGACTTGGTCCTATCAGACCAAATATATAAATATAAATATGTATGTATGTTGTAATCTCTTTAACTGCATCACATATTAACACTCTCTATCCACATCACTCTTAATCTCAAATACATATTCTCTAATATCTCATGACATCATGGATAGCTTTACTTTGTTTATCAAATGGGCATATAGTCATGTGAATCTAATATGCATTTAGAGTAAAAATATGTTAACATCCATCGTAACCTATCCATCCATCCTTGGATGGATAGGTTTGAACCGTCCATACTTCTCACTTTGAAGAATTAGTGCAAATCAAAAGCCTAATCAATAGTTCTTGATCCACCTTGCAGCATTCTGAGTCATATGCAATGATCGCGAATGACTAGTGCAACGAACACGAATATTGCTCAAAGTAATATTTTACATTGTGGACTGTTTAGGGATTGTTCACGAGATGGAAAGTTTTCCAAAATTTTCAGACCTTATCATGATTTCGAAAGCTATACACTTATTCCACAACAATATACATAGTTAAACCTCCCAATAGTGACATATATTGGTACTAAGGTTTTATGTCACTATTGTGAGGTTTCATTCACAAGAGTAAAGTGCTTATAACCTCCTAATAGTAACATACATTGGTGTTAGAATTGGATGTCACTATTGGGAGGTGTGTAATTTAAATACTTGGTGTTACGGTTAGATGTTTCTATTGGAAGGTGTCAATTAAAAAAAAAAGCTCTTAGATTTCTTATCGTCCATTACATCAATCCTAGAACATTCTATAAATATGTTGTTTAGTTTCATAATCGCCTTCATTTGCACATCTATATTGCTCACAATTATTAACGTAGACATTATAATTACGTTTAAATTCAGATTCATAAAAAAATATTCTGAGTGAAACAATTGATGATAATATATGTATCGAAGTATTTAACTGTAACCCAGAAAGAGTCAATTGTCGAGATATACCTTTAAATAAACTTATGCCACATTTTTTAGTCTCATAGTTATGTATTGTGATCATGATAATGATTTTTACTCTAAAATTACATTTGAAATTGTCATTATTGGATAGTATCATGTCACTATTGGAAATGTTGACTTATTGTTTTTATTGAGTATATTTACAAGCTAGAAACTAGTGGTTCTAGAATTCTACGTCACTAATAGGAGTATGCCACTCATAAGAGTTGACTCTATTGGGAGATTTAACTCTTCACCGTGTATACCACTATGTTACAATATACAACTCTTTTGGAAATCTGTTTTGATACCTACACTTGTAGAACTTACGTCATCAATCAAGTGCTTTATAATAAAAGTAAAATTACAGGTACATAATGTGAAAAAATGCGTGTGCAAAAGAGGAAAATTAAGATTCACATTTGATTCACTTGAGCAAAATTAAGATTCACATTTGACATTCTTGTTATCAAGGGGGTATTAGACGATTGCTGTTATTTTTTTGAGATTTAGATTATGTGGACTTTACAACTCATCATCATGCAATTTAACCGCGGTTGGAAGGTACACATAACAAAGTTAATAATCAAAAGTCAACGCATAATATAAAGCTTATGATGAGTCTTTATTTTCAATCTCCCGTTTTGGAACTATTAAAATCAGTAAGAATTAAACTAAGACTTTCTTAGCATATAAGAAAACAAAAAAATTCATAGAAGAGAATTTAGCGAGAGAAGTTGTAGACCGAAGTTACAAAGGGTCAATAGTTGTCCCATCATCTCTTGGATAAAGTGGTGATGAAAGCTTGAAATGAAAAACTAAAGAATTATTCACAGCCTTATTGTTTTCCACGTTGAAACTTGCACTTAACTTTCAAGAATTCTTCATTTGTGTTAATTGAAATGTCTCATCCGTCATAAATTCTTTTAATCTCTATACCTTATATACTTCTGATGAATTAAGATCTTTCCATCTGAACTCAAAACTTCAGAAAAACCTAAGCTTATTACGATCAAATCTGTCTCTAGCTACAATAAGCATATTTTCTACATTAATTTCTTTATACATCTGATAAGGATGAAGAATTTGAAGCAAATAATTTGAGTTTATCTCGATAGGAAAATAGAAATTCGTTTGCGATGGACTCTTCTCTAGTTGCTGCTGAAGATCTGATTCGTCGTGCGCACTCCCTTTCTGAACAACATCGGAAGAAAACTAGGCTTTTGACAGAGAATCGAACATTGAAGCGTTATGTAGACAATTTATCCGGTATAATCGAAGGGGGATGGAGGATTAAAAAAATGAAACCAAAACTCAGTTTTCATATATTTGAAAGGATAGACCACACTCCATTTGAAACCTTGCAACCTCATATAATCATTCAAATATGGCAAGACTATCACTCAACCATTTTTGTTTGAAAATATTTCAGTTTTTGTGTTTCAAGTTCATTATCATGATAGTATAAAGTCCGCTTTAAGCGTACCATAGCCACAATTTGAATTCGTCTCAACTCTATTAGCTATTGATATTATGATTAGAACGTTATATTTTACTTCTACTTTTAACTAACACCATACACCATTAGACAAGATGAACTCATATAGTACTTCTATATGAGCGGATGGTATCACAACGTTCAACCTTCTTCACGACAAGACTGGTTCGCCGATTGCTATCCTACCTCTAACGTCACTCTAAGGCTCCTCCGGACCTGCGTGGAACACAATGTCCAAACTTCAGCAAGGTACAATCATTTTAACTTAGAACAATCGAGGAAATGAGTACCTGCTCTTTCTACTTCGATATTTCTCTCTAAACAAGATATTATATAGCATCATTTTGATTATTCTTGCTTTTGACATTGGCAAACATCATATATAAAATATAGTCCGTACTTTTGCCAGCCCACTAGGATTTGATTTGTAGAAGTAGTGAATTGTATCTTCATAAAGTTTGATATAACATAGCTTTTATAATATTTTTGCAAAATCTTTCCTCTATTCAACAAAAGTTCAAAAGTGTATTTAAATTTTTTGTCATAATCTCATATAAAAATCTTCATACTTCTTTGTCATATATGTATTTGATTTGAGAATAAACTAAAATCTAATTCTATTCATTTGCTAAAACATTTTGTAGCTATCGCGTAGAATTAGTATTCTTAAAACTTAATATTCAAATGATTTATAAAATATACTTCACATTTCTTAGAGGGAACCAAGAAGGAAATTGATATAAAAGAATCAAATTGTAGATCATCTCTTATGCTCTTGCCTTCATAGAAAAGTGAATGTTGTTTGAAATTGATTTGTCTCTGTGCTAGTGCGTTGATAATAATGCCACGCAAGTTTATAGACGTATGTTTTAAGCTTAAATATTTTTTGAATGATAAAAATTCTAGAATCATAAGACACAATAATCTATTAAACTTGACATAAAAAGTGTGTGATTCACATGAGCAAAATTATTTTTATAACGCATGACACAAGAATTTTTTTCTTAAGATTTCATTCTAATTGTGTTATATAACATTATTTACCCGTTTTAATTTAATAATAATGAGAAAAATGACTAAATTGATCAAGATATGAAAAAATTGTAAAAAATCTACCGTTTCAAATCGCACTCATAAAAATTTCAAAGGTCTATATTCATAATTTTTTTACATAATTTTTTCAAATGATTGACTTACGTTGAAAATCATTTGAGATATCTGATAATGTTTGTTGACTTCAGCATATTGGCAAGTGCTAAAGTTGATAAAGCAAAGCATAAAGCGACATCATCTTATGGTCTCTACGAACAATATTAAATATTCTCTAATTGGCAACAGGAGTGAAAGGAGGAGGAACTCCAGGACAAAGAATACGAGCAGTGAGGAGCTGGAAGATGTTCACACCGACCGGTCGCTGGGTGGGAAGATCCCAAGGTCCCACATATACGAAGACAAGCCACCTATACCTTCCATTCCGCCTCACTATGAACTAGAGGCACGCGGTGGCCCCACTGTGGCCCCGAAAGCCCTCTATAAGGCAGCACCGTAAACTAAAGGTCCGGTACAAACCGTCGACACAACATGCGTGCTACTCACTCCACGGGACTTCCCGTCGAGGCTTACGGAAAAGTGGGACTGAAAAACAGTCTGGCACGACAATGCCGGAGACTCACTCCATCCATCCAGCAGAGTCATAGATCGAGCCCTCGTAGATGACGTCCTGCAAGATGGCCCCATCCGAGCCGTCGGTCGGGATACGTGCCGTGGATCGGACCGACAGAGCGACATTTTAAGTCGTGAAGTGCGGCGTTTGTCGTACCAGCACGTCAGAAGAGTTCGAAGGAGGAGGAGGAGGAGGGAAGGAAGGAAGGACGACGGAAAGAAGCAACGGGTTGAGCGACGCCATAGCCAACCGATCGTCTGTCTGTCGCTCCGTACTGGCAGGGCAAAAGGGGCCCCGCCGACCGGGCCGGGCGCAATGCGAATCTCAGCGCCGAGCAGACAGCCTCGGCTGGCTGGCCGGGCCAGCTTTGCCAACGTGCTGCGGGCGATCGATCCATCGTTTCTTGCAGTGCAGTTTCAAAGATTCGGGGAAGGAAGGAAGAAAGGCAATGTCGGGCGATAGTCGGATACCACACATGCAGCCCCGAGGCCAACGAGAAGCAGGACGGCAGGTGACGAGGAAATTCGCCATAATCTCCGAGCAGGAGGATTAGGAGGAGGAGAGAGAGAGAGAGAGAGAGAGAGAAAGAGAGATGGATGATTAATGATGGGCCGGGCTCTGGTTCTGGAGTCGGGTCGGGTCGAGGCGAGCCCCAGATAGAGGAGGAGGAGGAGGAGGCTGGATCGAGGATGTGAATTCGAGAGGGAGGAGGAAGCGGAGACGGAGGAGTTGGAGTGTCGACGTGTATCGCGTTGCAGCTCTCGGGTCGAGAGTTCGGTTCGGATCTTCAGCCTGGGAATTTCCGGAGGCTGGTTGAGGTCGACGGATTGGATTCGTCCGGAGTCAGGTGCTGCTGGCAGGCAGATGGCAAACAGCAGGGTCGAGGGCAGGATGCGGTGTTGGAATTTCCCGCTATTCGCTTGTGACTGCAGGTGAGCGAAGATTTGAGGGAAGGAAGGGAGGAGAGGAGGTGGAGGTGAGAAGGGCGGAGTTGTGTCGGAGAGTGCGTGTTCGGTACAGGGTGCATTTGGAGAAAATACAAGAGATCTGCACGAGTGACAGCGAATCTCGATGATGTACTTGTAGTCGAAAGGATAGCTGCGGACCTCAAGATTAGGGCAGCTTTAAGGAAAGGGTTGGTGTTTGGACGCTCTACCTGATTGTGCCTGCATCCTCTCTTGTCGTCCCCTGTGCCGCTTCGGCTCGTTCGAGGTTGATCACATCCTCTCAGTTCGATCCGGAAAACACCAAAATACGTCGAAGCCTCCAACTTTTGCTCCCGTCCACTTTCCCGTGCATTGAACTTCGCCAAATTGGCTTAGGTTCATAAGAGAAAGATCGATTCTCGTGCAAGCGATAAGCTCGAGCTCTCTGGCGGTGGTTCTGTCTCTGTCTCTGCCGTTAGCCATTGCACTGGGCGAGGGTTTGATTTTATTGTGGGGAGTTTGTGTAAGCTTCGGGCAACATGGACTTGACATCGATACGGGATGCGTTTGATCGAGTATCTAAGAAACAAAAGGTTTCTTACTCGAAGACACAAGAGGTTATTGAGAAAGTGCAGCAGGAAATTGAGAAGGTAGCAAAGTCACTCGTTGAGATTCCAAATGGGCCTGAGGCCGGTGATCAGAAGCGTGCTCTTCTGGTCGAGCTGCAAACAAAACTGAGCGAAATGGGACCATCGACGCAAGTGGGCGCATCGCAGAAGGAGGTGAACCTTGCCGTGAGCAAATATGGGAAGGTGGTAGATAAAATTTTCTGCACCGACATCGCGAATGCTTACAGGGACGTACAATTCGACCACCATGTTATCAACCAGATTGTGGCGCTCCACTTCTACCGTCAGGGTCTGTTTGATCTCGGAGATTGCTTTGTAAAGGAAGCACATGAGGCAGATGGAGCAGGTCTCAAGGCGCCCTTTTATGAAATGTACCAAATACTGGAGCAAATGAAGGCTAAAAACTTGCTGCCTGCCATCAGTTGGGCTACAAGGCACCACGACGAACTCCAGAAAAAAGGGTCGTCTTTAGAATTCAAGCTTCATCAGCTGCAGTTTGTAAATTGTCTGCATCAAGGGGGCCGGAACGCTGCTCTACAGTACGCACGTAGTTCTTTCGTGCCGTTTGCCAGTAATCACATGACGGATATCCAGCGACTAATGGGTTGTCTGTTGTGGGCTGAGCGATTGCAGTCCTCCCCTTACGCTGATATGCTTGCTGCAACTCATTGGGACTCCGTAGCCACAGAGTTCACTAGAGAATGTTGCAGCCTTCTGGGACAAGCCTATGAAAGCCCCTTGCACGTCACTATTTCAGCTGGTGCCCAGGCTCTTCCAACTCTGGTGAAACTTGCAACCATTATGGCAAATAAGAAGCAAGAATGGCAGAATATGAAGCAGTTGCCCGTGGAGATCGAATTGAGCAAAGAATTTCAGTTCCACTCCATATTCGCTTGTCCTGTCTCCAGGGATCCGTCCACAGCTGAGAATCCGCCCATGCTTATGCCATGCGGTCATGTTCTGTGCAAGCAGTCCATTCAGAAACTGGCAAAGGGTAATTTCCGAACTTTCAAGTGTCCATATTGCCCTTCTGAAACAACGGTGGCACAGTGTCGGCAAATTTTCTTCTAGAAATTGTTTGACTCAATTTATTCTAGCATGGGGTTGGGCCTGTTCTAGCTTTCAGGGATAGATTGTCATGACATCATGAAAGGTTGACTATTCAATAGGGTTATTCTTGTGAAACATGGTCGATAGTACATGTACAGCTTGTCTTGATTTAGTCTGTCTTATTCGTAGTCGTTTAATACTTTTTCTTCCTTCTTCCTCCGTTTTCTCCCAATCTTCTCCAGTTCTCAAGCTTTCTGCAATAATGCCTGGTCTAAGTTGCCCTCTGAATAGAAGTCAACCAGGGACTGAGTTCTACTTCCTCCAGCTCAACACTGGGTGTTGCAGCAGGAGTTTATTTCACGTATGTCATGCCGGTTTTCGTATTGTACAAAATGGGACGAAGCTAAGTCTTGACTGGACATTGATCTGGAGTCTCCCTGTGAAGGGTCGTACATAAGAAGGCATGCTAGGGAGGATTCGCCCTTAAAAGTTGCAACGGATCAACATAAGTGTTATATAATCTAGGGGATCAGGGAGTTGAGGACTTGTGGGCACCGGTAGGTATATTGTACTGGTGCTCCACTTTCAGATAGAGAGTCAGCTGCTTGAGATGGATTCCACCCTGAGCAGTTATTCCAAACCGAAAGTTGGAATCAGTTTCCAGGTCCCCTCGGAGACTGTCCTTCCGTGTCATAGATGGATTTTTAAGTACTGTACAGAGAAATTCCTGCAGATTGTGGATACAGTGGAGACCTCATGGAAAGCAAACGTGTGGAATGAGTAATGCATCAAATAGGTTCATGTCCTCGACTTCTCGTGGTCATGGTTATTGCGCCTGAAGTGGCCCTTCTTCATATGGAATCCTCCTACTCGACAAGAGGGCTGGACTTTGTGTGAATGCTGTGATGAGTTCATATGAGATCTTCAAGGCGAGAGTGATGGACATATTCCACATATTCCATAAAGATTTGCCTCTTATAAACCCAGGTAGAAAATCGTACCTCGTAATATAACTCGATTTCTAAGAAAAAGAATAAGAGAACAACTAGCCTTCTAACGGTTGAGGGGCATTCTCGTTTCAGACACGCGGCCAGAGAGTCGTTCTTCACACATCGTAACCTTAGGTCCTCTAGACTACAACCTCGGAGGAATGTAACTTGCTACTTCAAAGAAACCTGTATTAGGTATGGTCCAGTTTCCCACGGGTGGAGCCGGACGTGTAGCAGAAGGTAGTAGCATCTGTCCTAAATACTCTGTTGCAACTTTCTCACAGCACTTCGGGCGAGTTGCGAGGCCGAGATTTCTTGTACACGGCGAGATGTCGGCATGGTGTAGAGTCAATAACTTGAACTTAGAAACGAGATAAGTTCAGCCCGTCATCACGACTATATGCATGTACATTGATGTTGGCCTTGCCTTCGTACTATGGACCCAGCGGACTTTTTGGTCTGCTTTTATCACATTCGGAAACACGTCACCCATGGGCGCCATCTCACCTGAGGAGGTCCTGAACGCAACTGGAAGTGTACGAATCGCCACAGAGATTGTTAACACGGCTGGCAAAAGTTAATCCTTCTGTCGAGGAGCACGGCCTTTCTGATCAAGTAATCATTGGCACAGCCCTAGGGGTATGTTTAGCTTGGCAAAATCCTCGTAGCTTGAACTTCCTCCACTGCTCTTTCCTATCGTTGAATGGCATTTGAACAGTGCGTTTTGTCTACGTTACATGATGTTGGTTACCTTTTATTATACCACTTTCGCTCTTCTAGGTCGTTTTTTGATACCTTCAATTCTCGGCTGCATCTTCAAAAGAATCAAAAGCAATAGGGTTTTAATGGCTAGCGTCTCAATGAATCCGTAGGATGGGAAACTTTTCGTCTTTTACGTCTCGTCGTTAGCGGAATCACATTTGAGAGTTGTTGCTATCTATGATCCTTCCGGTTCCTTTTACTCATGCATTCGCTTCTTGGCTTTGTAACACTCTTCTTCTACTCGTATACGCGTCTTTACACTTCTTGCTCGCTCAAGAGTTGAAGTTATTGACCAGTCCCATTATAGAGCTTTACTGTGACCACAACCCCACTTTAGTTTTTCATTTCTGTTTCTAAGTCCAATCGTTCCTGGTGTACTTTTTCCCTCTTAGGCACAAAGCTTTGCGAATGTGATTCCAACCCTAAGAAAGAGCTTGAGTAATTTTCGACAAATCCAGCGCAGATCGCTAACCATGATAACTGTAACTTTCAGGTCCAAAGCTGTAAGATTCCGATGGTTTTCTTTTTTTGCTAAACATTCAGTAGATTATTTAGTGTAATGTGTGATGTGAGTGGCGAATCCTCTTCTACTTCAATACTATAGATTTCAGGTTAAGAGTTTGAGACTTTTCTTAAAGAGTTAGAAATTACGATTAAATTGAAATATAATATTGACATTGTGACCTATCGAAGTGGAAGATTAAAGACCAATCATGCAGATACTCCTCAAAATTGATTGGAGGAGATTCTGCATCTTGAAAATGTTTAATGTTATAATTCTTTTTTTCAATCTTTTGCATATTTTGTATGTTTTTATTATTTAACAGTGCATGTATGTCTTCTAATATACTTTGTGCTATCTTTATTTTGTATATGTGCTTTAATTGTATTAAGTCATTGCAATCTATCTTCAATGATTTTTGATTTCGTAGTTTTCACGTCTCTAATTCTTTTCACTTGACTGATTAATTGATTATTTATTACTTAATATTTATCTGATGACTGGTGTTATTTTTCGAAAATATCTCTATATTTGTGTACTCGAATTGGAGTCTTGGAGATTTGGAAATCAAAGTGATATTATCTTTGATTTGCATAGTCTTATGAGTAGTTATTTATCTTCTCGAATTGCAAAGTTCGTAATTTTGCAAATTTTTTTAACATGTAAGATGTCATGTGGTTACTTGTTGTTTATAATTAGCATCAAGTTAAGTTTAACTCTAGTTGAGTTAACCCTAGGTAGAGCCTAGGTAAGTTCAATCCCGTTAGACAATATATTCAAGCGTATTCAAAAACTATAAATTCTTTGAATTGACACTTTCGCGAAGAGAATAATTTTCAGTAGGTTGACTATGGTGTACCGCAAGCTTCAACTTGTAGTCTACAAGGTGTGGAATGTATGTGGCTCTATTTTCATGTGAATCATCATGATTTATATTAGTAGGGTTTTCACCATACTTTTCATTCGAAGAATTTGGTATGGTTGAACAACGTCGGCTTCGAGCGACTGCTGTTATGAGTATCCCTTTGATGAACGCGATGTCTATTGAGACGATTGAGATATCGATTGGGGCAAGACAAGTGGTATTTCACATCCTTGGAGTACATGTGAGGTGATTGATGACCATGCAGAGGTGACAATCAATGCAGTTGGAGTTATTTCTCGCGTGAAGGTTGTTCCAAAGGAGAGTACGGAGAATCGTACCGGTTCTTTGGAGTATGTGGCATAGCAATATGTAAGAGTGTCGTCTCTCTCTAGTGTGCCTACAAAGAAAGATTGCGAGCCATTGATTGATCCTAATATCACAAGAGGCAAAGGACGCCGTTTGACATAATTCTTACATGTGTATAAGAATTTTTTTGCCTTTGAAATGAAGGAGTTTGATGCCTTGATTGGACATCGTATACGGATAAAGTTGGCTAGTGATACACCAATCTTTTGTAGTCCATATAGGTATAGTGATATGGAGAGTGACTTGATTCGGAGTAGGATATTGAAACTATTGAAGGCTGTATTAGTAAAGTTGTCGCACGGTGAGTATGCGTCAGCCATTGTCATACCGGTGAAGAAGTATGTACATGATAACTACATGAATAAACAAATGTATGGAGATTACGGTCAAATCAATCGGCAAATGAAGTTTCGATAAATATGTCATGCCTACATCTAAGGAGATCTTTGATGTGGTGGAACATGCGAGTATGTTCAGTACTTTGGAACTTTAGACAGGATACCATTAGTTGCCGATTCAAGAGGATGACAAGGCCAAGAAATCATTTTGGGGCTTCAATTCTCACGGCAAGGATTGTTTGTATCAATGATGATTTGTTACATCGATGAAATCTTGGTGTTTAACGACACGATGAATTAACATCACAAACATTTGCAGATTGTGTTTGAGCGGTTGAAAGTTTATGGTTTGCGTGTATATTAGATGAAGTGTAAGTTCTTCTAAAAGTACGTTGAATATTTGGGTCATGCGATCTACCCGGGAGATTCGAAATTTTAACAAGCAAAGGTTGAGTAGAGTTCCTACATTCATGGTAAACTACCATTGAAAGTATTTGAAGAGGTTCAGTGCTATAGCAAAGCCTTTGAACCAAGTGCTAAAGTCGGATTAGGAGTGACAATGGAGAGATGAACAAGAGATAACTTTTGTTGAGCTTAAGACCAAGTTGGTGTTAGAGTTAAGATTGCTTGTAGTTAATATTGGAGTTCAGGTAGCTTGTAGTTACTATTTACAATTTACACTATTTACAATGCTTTATTAAGACATTGTAAATAATGTTTGCAATAAGATAGAATTAGAAGTTGAAGTTAAAAGAGGAAAAAAAAAAGAGAGGTGAATTACCACATGGTGCACATGTGTCATGAATAGGTGAAGAGATATGGAACAACCCACTTGCATTAAATCCATAAGTTTAGGGCTTGTAAGTAAACAACCAAGTACTATAAGTAAAGGGCTTCGAAAGAAGCTAATATCTCTTGAATCTTACTACCCTTCAAACCATTGCTCATGAAATCTACATGTAATCCGTGATGCACCACTCCTAAAACCTTCACACTACCCTCATCCTTTGATGCGTCACCTGTTACTCATGTAATTATTTCTTAATTTTTGATTCTTGATGACACTGCAGAAACAAAGAAATCAAGAAGTCTTTTTTTGCTGACACATTACTCCACCCCCACTCCTCTACTTAACCGTACTTGAAATCGTACTAGCACTATTTGATTTTTTATTTTATTTCTATTTATTAATTCTTAGACTAACAATGATAATAATAATTCTATTCAAGTAATATAATATCTTATACTACTATAATTCAAACAAATCTTTCTAACTTGTCCTTTTGCAAACCATTTGGAAAGAAGGTTATCGAGCATCAACTCGTAGATTTCATGTGAAGTATTATGTCTAGTTACAGCAGACTGCACCGACAACATTGGATGTGAGTGCAAGAGGTGTGGTAACCCACTTTTTGTTTTTGTGCGGAATTTAAACATTTTTGGAAAACAGTACCACAGCAGCAACTGTAAATAGTAATCGGTACACTAGAATAGAGTAAAAATGGATGATCGCGGGTCAAGGAGAATCATCGAGAATCATCGAGTTGGGCGCAATGTCGGGGACAAGCGCCCTGGCCCGAACGGACGGTTCCTACTGAGGGAGAACGCCTCTAGCGCCTTCAGCAAAAGCTTTCTTGTTAAGGGGTCTTCGGCGATGCGCCTTCGGCGCAAGCAGGAGAAAGCGTCTTCGGCTCAGGCCACTGCAGAAGAGCTTTTGCTGAGGACGTACGAGGCCTTGGACATCTACGCCTTAGTCAAGGAAAAGCGACTTCGTCGCCAATCACTCGCCTTCGGGGGTAGAGTGCCTTCGGCGGGAGATCCCTCATAACTTTCTCAATTCGTAACGCAGGGACTTTTTAGTATCTTGTTGGAAAGATCTGGACACGGTTGTTTCAACGTGCCCAAAAACTCTTGGAACAGATAAGGGATCACTGAGTT